TGAAATCGTTCCATGTCTGTCCTTTTTTTTTCTCTTGAACGTACAAGTCCACGAGGTCTTTCTCACTGCTGTGTCGTCAGCATTTAGCAGAGGCAGTGCCTAAATCTTTTAGAGGCTCAGTAGATTTTGTCACCCTGAGAACTGACCCCGGAGGAGGCCTGAGAGGCTTTAGGGAGGAGGACAATTAGGAAGTTGTTCCATGATGCGCAGAGTTCAAAGGTTACCAAACGCTGAGGGCAGCCATTGTCTTGTTCCCTTCATTCTTGTGAGGGCTCGAAGGACCATTCATTCCACCTTGCAAACTCTGGGAGTCTCAGGGCACTCCGATTGCCTGGCTTGTATTTGCAACGGGGCAGGGAAGAGATCTGAGCAACAGTGACACACACAAGGCTCGTGAAGGTGCTCCGTGGCCGTCAAGGTCTCGGCCTAGAATGACTGAGAGTGCCACCTTCCCTTTCTCTTTGGAGAATGCTCAGGGTAAGGCAGGCCCAGCGATGGGGACCTCCACCAAAGAAGCCTTGGTGCTAGGTCCACTTTTAGGAGATGACACCAGGGACTTTCTCCTAGAGTTGTCCTACTCTGTTCTGGTGTCTTAATCTGGTCCTTGCGTTTTGCTGACCAGTGCAAGACCAGCTTGAGAAATGACTCAAATAGCACAGCTTCTGGTGCTCTAGACAGCAATGCCTCGGAACAGGTGTCAGAGAAAGGGCCCGGATCAAACCAGGAGGGCTGGTATACTAGGGTTCTCCAGGGACACAGAGCCAACAGGACAGACACATCTGTAACGCAAACACACACACGTGGCTGCAAACTCAGATGTCCTCCCCATGTACAAATGGGAGAAAGAGGGGCATTTATTAAAAGGAATAGATTGCTGTGGTTATAGGGACTGGTGGGTCCCAAGATCAGCAGTCAGCAAGCTGAAGACCTGAGAGAGCCAAGAGTGTGGTGTTAGTCCAAAGACCAGCAGGCTCAAGACGCAAAAGAGCTAATATTTCAATATGAGCCCAAAGGCAGGCACACACACACACACACACACACAAACGCACACACACATGGACATAAACAAGCATGTCCCAGCTCAGTGTGGTCAGGGAGGAGTTTTCGCCTTACTCAGCCTTTTATTCTACTGGGCTTCCACCAAATGCGATGAAGCCCACTCACAGCGGGGGGGGGGGGGGGTAGCGTCCTGCTTTACCGACTCAAGTGCCCATCTCACAAGAAACCCTCGCAGGACCGGAGTTTGGTGCAGGGGTTAAGACACTGCAACTCATGTCGGAGTGCCTGGAGTGGAGTCTCAGCTCCACTTCTGAGCTAGCTTCCTGCTAAAGTACACCCTGGGAGGCAGCAGGTGAAGGCACAAGTATTTGAGTTCCTTCCACACACATGGGAGACCGAATTGAAATAGGGGCTGCTGGCTTAGGCCTGGTCCAGTCCAGCGATTGCGAACATTTGGGGAGTGAAACAACAAATGGAAGACTTTTTTCGATATTAAATATAGATATAGATCTTTTTCTCTCTCCTCCGTCTCTTTTTGCCTTACAAATAAAATGAAAATAAAGTATTTAAAAATACCTTCACAAACACACTCATAATGTTTGGTCAAATACATGGGCACCCTGTGGCCCAATTAAGTTGATACTTAATTAACCATGACAGCCTGGTTCTGGTCCTGGTCATTCCGTGAGAAAGTTGCTCTCCCGCTCTGAGATTCAGCGTGTACCTTCTTGCATAGGCACGAAGCTGGGTCAGAAGCAGAACTAGGACTTGAACCAGAAACTCTGACATGGGCTGCAGGCATCCCAGAGCAACATCTCAACAGCTGGGTCACACAGCCACTGCCCCTTGCCGCTCCGTGTGGTGGTGTCTACCCAGAGAAGCAAGCTGCCTGCACCCTGCCCCTCCCTCCCCACCAGAGCCCCGGCTGAGCTGGAGAGGACAAAGTAAGGATTATGAGCCTTTGTCTTAGACAGTGTGATGACAGCAGCTAGATGCTCCGGGAGGCCTCTGGGAAGGCCTTCACTGGGATCCCGAGTATTTCACGGAAGTACTCCATTCCTCTCATCTGAAGCATCTTACAAGCAGGGAGGACAGAGGGAGGCTAGGACCCATGGGAAGCTGCTGGAGGAAGCGGGGACAGGGGGGCAGGACGCTAAGGAGTAGGACATACAGGAGACAGGGCCAGCAGGCGCCGCCTCGTGCCCAGCTGTGGTGGTGAGGACAGCACAGTAGTCAACTGGGCAGAACGCTGATCTCCTTCCCCTAATGGTGGTCAGAAGCACACGCTCTGCTGGGCTTCAGATCCTAATTCTAGCCTTACTGGCTAGGTGGATCTGGGCGAGTGAGGCGGCAGCCGGGGGTGAGATGAATCGGCAGTGAGCCCCGGCTGTCAGTGGGGATGAGAATCCCATGTGCACCTCCCAGCAGCCGCAAAGGCCCGGCCTGGAAATGTTGACCAATGCGATCTTGGCCTTCAGCGGCCACAAAGGGCAGTCTGATGGGGGACTGCGCAGGCACACGCACTGCTAGATCACGGAGACCCCAGGGTGAGTGAGGCAGATCAGCTGAGTCCCTGCCACCCGCCACCCGGAGCTAAGCTGGCGCTCCGAGCCTGCTTCTCCTCTGTAAGCTTATGCTGGGATGAAGAGGAGTCTAACCTCTTTTTCTGAACTCGATCGTTTTTGGGGAGTGTTTAGTTCTGTTTCCAGGCGTTCTTTAGCTGCTGTGTAGCAAATCCTTTCCAATGGGAACAAACCTGGATGTGCTCAAACCACCCGGCATCTCCTGGCCTGAGTGCAGGCTCCCTGGGTGGTCTCTGCAGTGGCCACTGGCCAATGTGGAAGAGAACTGGACCTACAGTTGGCCCTGGTCCTGCCTGCTCTGCTCTGGTTTGGCAGGTCTGGACTGGCCCTCGCCACGCATGTGTGGGGCAGAAGTTTGCAGGCTTCAGATCCCACCCAGCCCCCCATGAATCCAAGGGAAGAAGGGGCGGGTCTGGAAGCAATGGCTCCATTTCTGTCTGCCCCAGTGTTCAATGCAAACCATTGAGATCCTGGTTTCAAACCACGGCCTCCCACTTACTTGGCCATGGACATGCTGTTTCACTTCCTGAGCCAGCTTTTTCAGATACGATGGGCATGATATTAGGGCTGACCTCAAAAGAACTTGGTCTAAGAATGGACACACACACAGCACCTGAATTAGTTCTGGGAAGGAGGTACCCTGAGAATGTCAGCAGGCTGCCTGTGTCTGCCCACACGGCTCCTCCTGTCTAGAAATAACTCTTACCACCGTCCACCGTTAACCTTGTTCACGACCAGCGTCTGCTTCGGGGCAGGAAAGAAGAGCCGGAGACTGTATGAGTTGGGAGGAGCTGCTGTAACAAAGACACAGGCTGGTTCTCAGGCCAGACAGGAAAGGGAAGAGAGACAGAAAAAGAAAAAAAAACCATTCTGGGGATATGTCGTTGGCTGGAAACGCCCTCCACCATGGCTGAGAGGCGGAGCTGCCACTGACTGAGCCACAGGGGACACTGGGACTCCGCAGTGTGGCTGAAGTAGCCTCTGCAACATCAGCCAGGGCACCTCCGCTGTCCCTACCCCCGGCCCCAGCCTGCCAGCTAGGGACATTAACCAGCCTCCTAATGTCCTTGCTTTGGGGTCTGTCGGGGGTGGGGAGTTTGCAAGAGAGAGACTGAAACATGTCATGTGATAAGCACTGATACAAGTTTCGCTCTTACTCAGCTACACCAGCGTTTGCTGTGATCCACACAGAATCAGTGATCTGGGCTCAAACTCCTATTCAGAGACACCCTGTGACCCACAGGGCAGGGCATTCAGGGGGCATCACCCAATGATCTTAGCCTCTGATTCCAGCAGCATCCATGCATTCTGGGGGCAGAGTGACTAGCATCACTTGGTCAGTGCTGACGTGGACAGGGGCCTGCAGCACCTTCCCAGCTCCGGCTGGCCATGGCCAAGCTCCTCAGACAAGCTGCTTCGGCTGCGCCCAGTGCCCAGAGTGGTGGTGAAAGGAATACGGGGCATGCCAGCCTGGCCCACAGCACAAGACGCTGGAGCACCTCGCCCGTCCTCTGGGGCCTCATTCCTCCCTACTGCCTTCCTCAAAAGTGCCTGCCCTTGGCTAGCGCCACGGCTCACTAGGCTAATCCTCTGCCTTGCAGCGCCGGCACACCGGGTTCTAGTCCCGGTCGGGGCGCCGGATTCTGTCCCAGTTGCCCCTCTTCCAGGCCATCTCTCTGCAGTGGCCAGGGAGTGCAGTGGAGGATGGCCCAAGTGCTTGGGCCCTGCACCCCATGGGAGACCAGGATAAGTACCTGGCTCCTGGCTTCAGATCAGCGCAGTGCGCCAGCCGCAGCGCGCCGGCTGCAGCGGCCATTGGAGGGTGAACCAACGGCAAAGGAAGAGCTTTCTCTCTCTCTCTCTCTCACTGTCCACTGTGCCTGTCAAAAAAAAAAAAAAAAAAAAAAAAAAAAAAAAAAAAAAAAGTGCCTGCCCTGCGCAGCCTGCACCACACGGTGCAAGGGCTCTCTTCTTGGAGCCTGGCTGGCTGGCTCCCAGGGAAACTCGCCCAGCCAAAGGCCTCTGTAGGCATCCATTGGAGGAGCTGGCCCCTAGGCTGCAGGCTGGGCGCAGGCAGGGTCCCGGTCCGTTTTGCCGTGTTTTCTGATTGGAAAGGTTTTATGCCCAGTCCTGATGATAGGATTTTCCTAGCATATTCACAGAGGGTCTGTCTCTCTGTGACAGGCTGGAGCTGTCATTTCCCCCAGAGGGCTATGCAAGCCAGAATGACAGCTGATTACTCTAGGGGTGGCTAACGCTGGCCTCTGTAACAGATGCATCTAGAAAGCAGATAGTCTGTGTCCTACAGCTGAGGTGGCTTCTGCACTGTGGGTGAAGATTCAGGAAACCAGGCACATTCCTTCCGTGGCTCCCCCAGCCTCGGCAGCGGCTTCCGACGCCACCCTAGGGACTGTCATCATGCCGCCAGTGAGAGGGGAAAGAGCAGAGACCCCAGGTGGGAGGAGTTAGGGCCGGAATTAGGGCCCAGGGCTCCCCTATCACACATGTATTACCTGAGTAGCTTAAAACAACAGAAATCTATCCTCCCACAGTTCTCCAATCTGAAAGCCCGAAATCAAGGTGTGAGCAGGGCTGACCCCTTGGGCTAGAGGCTAGAATCTGGTCCATGCCCAGGGGCTCATGTGGCCTCCTCCCCTGCGGGTCGCTGCGTCTTCTCCTCTGCTGTCCCTTTAGGACACTGCCATTGCATTTTAGGACCCCTAATTCAGGATCTCATCTGGAGATCTTTCCCTTCAAAGGCCCTTATTCCAAAAACGGTCGCACTCTGAGGTTCTGGGTGGACACACATCTTGCTCCAGGAACAAGTCACACAACCAGATCTAACCGCGAGGGACACGACAAAGTGGAATCGTGTCCAGGGTGAGGAAACCGGCCCAGGCAACAGGTACCTGACTCAACCACATTGAGGAGGGGCCTTGTGCAGGACCAGAAGGCCCACACTTTCCGTGGAGGCGTGGCTCTTCCTCAGGCTGACCTGGACACCTTCCGATGACATCCCCAGATCTTCCACACGCCGCCTCTCATGTGTGCTTCAACGTCTGATGTGGGCTCACACAGGCAGGTTCACCACCTGTCCTTGGGATAACGTCCTTCAAGGCCAAGGTGGAGCATACTCAGGTCCACCGTGAAGACTTCCACACCTTCCCTGGGCACTCTGCCCCTCCTCCTGGCTCTGCCTGTTGTATGGGGCACACACTCCTCCCTCACCTGAGCTTCCACGTGCCAGCAGCTCCGCCTTCTCCAGGCTCCTGGCGACTTCCTGGGCCACCTTATTCCCCTGGCAGGATTCGTGCTGCTGATTTGGGAAGGCAGAGCACTCTTGGCTTTCTCTTGGCTCTAAGTGTCCAGCAGCAGGTCCAAGTTGCTCCTCTAGTTGGGCGGGCAAGTCTGCCTGGGCTGCAGGCTCAGTTACCGGGCTCGGTTGGCTGCAGGTACATGCCAGATTCTCCAGTGTCAGCTGCACACGGATAAGCGCTTACTTCTTTCTCGGATAGCTCAGTTAGTACCCAGGCTGAGAAGGGTGCTGTTTACTGAGACTTGAGAAGCCCCCAACACCTCTGCGATCGTCCTCTTAACAGAATTCTTACCATGTTTAGCTGACTACATACTTATTTGTAATGAACTTGCACAGTGCCTGAAACATGGTAGGTGTTTGTGTTTGTTGGAAGAATGAAAAAAAGAAGAGAAATAATACATGGGGGTACTCTGAAAAGGTAGTGGAAGGGTTAAGCCATCGCCTGCAGCATCTGTGTCCCATATAGGCAGCGGTTTGTGTCCCGGCTGCTCCATTTCCCATCCAGCTACCTGCTAATGCACCTGGGAAAGCAGTGGAGGATGGCCCAAGTGCTTGGGAGCCTGTACCCACACGGGAGACCCCGAGGAAGCACCTGGTCCAGCTCTGGTCATCGCAGCCATTTGGGCGAGTGAACTAGCAAATGGAAGATCTCTCTGTCTCTCTCTCTTTTTTTTTACCTCTCTCTCTCTTTCTGTAACTCTGCCTTTTAAATTAAGTTTGTGGAAAAAAAGTTAAAAGATCAATTCAGGGGTATGCATTTATTCTAGCCTTTAAGATGCTGGTTAATATGCCTATGTCCAACATCAGACATCATAGTTCAAAACCTCACATTAGCTCCTGACTTCAGCTTCCTGCTAATGTGGACCCTGGGAGGCAGAGGTGAGATGGCTCAAGCAGTCATATCCCTGCCACTCACCTGGGAAACCTGGATTGGGGGTCCCAGTCCCTGGCTTCAGCTCCAGTCCACCCCCACAGCCCCAGCTGCTGCAGGCATTTGAGAAGTTAGTAGATGGAGTCTCTCTCTCAAATAAATGGATGGAAGATCTCTGTCTCTCCATAACTCTACCTTTCAAATAATCTTTTTTTAAAAAAGCATCCACTGGCCAGGCAGTGGTCAGGGTTTATGGCCCATTCATCTCCCCTAGTTGGGCGGGCGGTCAGTCCCCAGCTCAGGCCAGGAGCCTGAGGAATTCAGACTCCATTTTCCTTCCTAAGGGCTTCCAAATCCCCACTGATAAAATATTATTTTATACAGAGCAGATATACCGAGGATGTCTCCAGGAGTTAAAATGCTGTGTTCACGCCCATTGTGGAAATGCAGATTCCTAGGCCCCAGGCCCGTCCTGGGGCGGATCCGAGGAGAGGCGTTGCAAACCGGCTGCCCAGTGAGTGTTACCCACGGTCGTGGTCGACAACGGTGTGGCCGGCCGCCTTCTGCAGGGCTGGCCGCGGTCTGGCGCTGGGTCTGCCGCTCGGGCGTGCGACCCTGAGCCCAAGCTCTGCCTGATTTGGGGAGGGAAGACCCCGGCTCTCCATGCAAAGCTCTTGACGGGTGACTGCCCCAAGCGAGTGCCAGGGGCGCGAAGGCTGGCGCTGCCGGCTCCGGGGCCCGAGCGCGGCGGGAAGGGGCTGCGGGTGTAGAGGCAGGCGCCGGGGGCAGCCGTGTCCCCGGGAAGGCTGCGCGGCCACCCCGCGATGGGTTCCCCGGGGCGAAGCCACCAGGAGTTCCTGCGGCGGCCCCGGCCGAGGGGTGGCGCGCGCCGCGGGCGAGGCGGACGTTGCGTCCTGTGCCGACAGTTTCCAAGGCGGAGAGCCAAGCGCCGCTGCTCCGGCGGTCTGCTTGGAGCGAGAAGCGTCTGCGGCCGGGTGGCCTCGCTGGGGCTCAGGCCAGCGCTGGGGCGGCTCTGAGGCGGAGGAGGGGCGAAAGGAGAGGCCGCGCCCGAGGCCCTCGGTGAGTCACCCCCACCCCAAGGAGGACGTGACCTCCAGCATTTATGCGTCCCCGATTCCTTGCCCAGCATGGAGCGGGGTCCAGCTCCGCGAAGACCTCAAGACCCAGCACTCCACGCCTCCCTTCCAGGTAGTTCTTTAAATAAAATTAATCAATTTTGGGGGAGCTGGCGCTGTGGCGCAGTGGGTTAAAGCCTCTGCCTGCAGTGTCCGCATCCCATGTGGCCCCTGGTTCGAGTCCCCGCTGCTCCACTTCTGATCCAGCTCCCTGCTAATGTGCCTGGGAAAGCAGTGGAAGATGGCCGAAGTGCTTGGGCCCCTGCCACCCCCTTCTGGGAGATCCAGAAGAAGCTCCTGGCTCAGGCCTGACCCAGGCCTGAGTGTTATGGCAATTTGGGGAGTGGAAAATTCTCTCTCTCTCTCTCTCTGCCTCTGCCTTTCAAATAAATAAATAAATCAAAGAAGGGGAGAGAGAGAGAGAGAGAGAGAGAGAGAGAGATCTTCCATCTGCTGGTTCACTCCCCAAATGGCTGCAACTGCTGGGGCTGGGCCAGGAGCCTGGAACTCCATCTGGGTCTCCCACGTGGGTGCCAGGGGCCCACAGCCCTCCCAGGTGCATCAGCAGCTTGTTGGATCAGAAGCGGAGCTGCCAGGACTCACATAGGATGCTGGGATCACAGGTGGCAGTTGAAGCCTCGGTGCCACCGCACCAGCCCCTCCTGGGGGTTCCCAGCCCTGAGTTTGTATGGATATCCCTGCAGAGCACGGAACACCTTGCAAAGGCTTGAGCCCCAGCCCTGGAGATTCAGAGAGGACGAACCTGCCCGTCACTAGGCTTGGAGAAGCGGTGCTCTGGCCCCAAACCCTTTGGGTCAGGACCGGCTGAGATGCAGCCTCTGAGAAGGTGGCTGCTGTTCCCTGCTGACCACTCGGAGTCCGCTGTGGAGCAGGAAGGAGGGTGCCCCGGAGAGCTGGACAAACGCCCTCCCACGCTTGGTAACAGGTCTCTCCTCTGCCGCCTGCCCTTGGCCCTGCTGGTCTCCAGAGCCCAGGGGGCTCAGGTGTTTTGCCTGGAGGGCGGGGCTGCCTCACTCGCACTGGATGCCCCATGCCCTGTAATTGTGGGCAGCTGGTGCCTTGGGGATTTTTTTCCCCCCTGGATTATTTTCCCATCTGGCTTTTCTGGCAAACTGTGAATCCAGGTAACTTGATAATTCCCGTCATCTCAGATTCCCAGTATCTCAGACTCAGGAAGCTACTGTGATTAACACTGTCTTCAAAACTGTTTAAATGCAGGACTCAGATGAGGAAACCTGGCAAATACACAGAGAAATCAGGACTGTATTTCCCCCAGCAAGATTTTAAAATTCTCTATCAAAATGAGCGCAGTTATTTAAAAGGAAAAACAAACGGGTTTAAAAAGTTTTTAGTCTGGAGGAAAACAGATTAGTTCTTGAGTTTTACATCCAGAATACATTTGATTCAGATTTTTGCTGTGCCTGGGACGAGGGTTTCCAGGGATCTCAATTCCAATTATTTTAAAGTTGTCCTGTTAGTGTTCAGTAAGGGAGCTGTTTCTAAAAACAGAATTGGGATTGGCATTTGGCTCTCAATTAAAACTTGGAATACCTACATCTTATATCGGAGTGTCTGGGTTCGAGTTCTGGATCTGCTTCTGGTTTTAGCTTCCTGCTACTACACACCTTGGGAGGCAGCAGATGATGGCTCAAGGAGTTTGTGTCCCTGCTGTCCGTGTGGGAGACCTGGCTTAGGCTGCGACTCCTGGCCTTGCCCTAGTGCGTCCCAGCTGCTGTAGGTGCTGGGAAGTGAATCAGAGAATGGGAGACTCTCTCTCTTCCACCTCCACAGGCTTTCAAACACATTTTAGAAAAACAAAGAAAAGAACTGGAAAAACAAAAAGTGAAGCTTTCCGAATTCTAGATTCAGATGATTTGTTGGGTTCTTCGAAAAACAGTTCTGACAGTACAGTGTTTTGGAAAGGACTGGGAAACGCATCAGAGGGGATCCGTGCCAGGCTCTGCCATGGGACTGCCTGGGCTCCTTCGGCTCCACCGTGTGCCATGTGGCTTCAGGCAAGCTTCCAGGTTTCCCTGAATGGTGAAATGGTGGTCTGAGCACTAGCTTGTGGAACCGTTAATGACGAGTAAATAAGACTGTCTCTGTAGCAAGTGCAACATATAGTTCTTGACACACATCCACACCTGACAAATGCCTGGTGTCATCACCATCCTTGTCAGCATCTCTCAAGGTTAGGGAGTCCATGGCCAGCGCCGAGGCTCACTAGGCTAATCCTCCACCTGCGGCGCCGGCACACCCGGTTCTAGTCCCGGTCGGGGCGCCGGATTCTGTCCCAGTTGCCCCTCTTCCAGACCAGCTCTCTGCTGGGGCCCGGGAGTGCAGTGGAGGATGGCCCGAATACTTGGGCCCTGCACCCCATGGGAGACCAGGAGAAGCACCTGGTTCCTGCCATCGGATCAGCACAGCGCGCCAGCTGCGGCGGCCATTGGAGGGTGAACCAATGGCAAAGGAAGACCTTTCTCTCTGTCTCTCTCTCTCACTGTCCACTCTGCCTGTCAAAAAAAAAAAAAAAAAAAAGGTTAGGGAGTCCACTGGCTTGCTTTCTACAATAAAAGGTGACCACTCTTTTTTTTTTTTTAAGATTTATTTATGTATTTGAAAGGCAGAGAGAGAGCGACAAAGAGACAGAGAGGACTTTCATCCGCTGGTTCGCTCCCCAGATGGCCGCAGTGACTGGACCTGCACTGATCTGAAGCCAGGAGCCAGGAGCTTCTTCCAGGTCTCCCATATGGGTGCAGGGGCCCAAGGACTTGGGCCATCTTCTACTGCTTTCTCAGGCCATAGTAGGGAGCTGGATCAGAAGTAGAGCAGCTGGAGCTCCAGCGGGTGCCCATATGGGATGCCAGCACTGCCGCTGGTGGCTTTACCCACTATGCCACGGCGCCAGCCCCCAAAAGGTGACCACTTTGAGGAAGATAGTCTTTTCTTATACTCAAAAACATGGTAACTTCTTTGGTTTTGTTGGCAAGCATAAGCTTTGGAGGATTTTTTTCAAACTAACACTTGCTGCATAGATGGTATGTTCCAGGCTCTGAACTAGCTTGTTACATGCTGTTTCTGTTTGCATTCTCTCAATCTCTACAAGGTTAAACTCTCTCATTAATACTCAGTGTGTGTGAGGAATGGAACCAGAAAGAGGTTAGGTAACTGGGAGAAGCCTCACAGCTAGGAGGTGGCAACGCCAGCTCTTTCATTCAGGTCGACCTTTATTTTACTTAACAAAATGCTTCCCACTGTAACTGCTGGTCTCTTCATTTGTACAGGAAAATATATGGCAGTGTTAAGAGCAAACAATAGGTGATCGATAAAATATTCAAAAATTGAAAATAATCCCCCAAATATAGGCACAATGCAGGATTGAGATTTCCATGAGAAAGTATATTTTTGTAAAGCAGCTAACTTTATAATCATTTAATAAACATCAATATTCTACTTACTCAGTGTGGTACATCCCCCCTGCCCACCGCAGCCTTGAGTGGCAGGGCTTCAAGCACTTGGGCCATCCTCCACTGCCTTCCCGGGAGCATTAGTAAGGAGCTGGATTGGAAGCAGGGCAGCTAAGACTCAAACCGTCACTCTCACGGGGGATGCCGGTGTCATAAGCAGTGACTTAACCCACTGGGCCACAACACGGGGCTCCCAACTTAATCCCCTCTTTGAAGATCCTGTCTCCACACACATGGGTAGGTACAGTTATGATTGGAGGCACTGCGGGTTAGAGCTGCAGCATGTGAGTTCTGAGACCACACGGTTTGGCCTGTCACCGTATGTCCAGCTAATGCTTGTTTGCTACAGAAGAGGAGGAGACAGGTCCCAAGGAACAAGCCAAGGTCTCACCCCTGTGTCTGACTGTATTCCTGCTCCAGCTCCTCTTCTTCAAGGCCTTCCTCAGAGGGAGAGTCTAAACCACAGCTCACCGCACCGGGCCCCTCTTCTGCCGCCTCCACATGTCCCCTAAGGTACTACCCCCCCGACAGGACTCTGTTCCTTATCTTCTTCTGCCTTTCTTTCTGTCTTTCTTTCGACAGGCAGAGTTAGACAGTGAGAGAGAGAGACAGAGAAAGGTCTTCCTTCCATTGGTTCACCCCTCAAATGGCCACCACAGCCAGCACGCTTCGCCGATCCGAAGGCAGGAGCCAGGTGCTTCCTCCTGGTCTCCCATGCGGGTGCAGGGCCCAAGCACTTGGGCCATCCTCCACTGCCTTCCTGAGCCACAGCAGAGAGCTGGACTGGAAGAGGAGCAACTGGGACAGAATCCAGCGCCCCAACCGGGACTAGAACCCTGGGTACCGGCGCCGCAGGTGGAGGATTAGCCTAGTGAGCCGTGGCGCCAGCCTCTTCTGCTTTTCAACACTCCCTGCCTCTGCCCATGCATTCTCCAGGGGCCTGTTTCCATGATGTATCCTTGAGATCATCTTTTTAAATCCCATCAACAGGATGTGGGTTCATTCGCTTGTGCACCCATGGTAAATGAGCTTAGTTCCAGCCCATAGCTGCTCAAGGTCTGGTAGTGGAATCCTGTCGCCCTCGGCTTCCTCACCATGCTTTCTTCTTTCCACCTACCTGTGTGAGGCTGACATTGATACGCTGGCTTCATCTCCTCTTCAACAGTGGAAGTTTCATGTCCAAGGATGAGTGTATCCCATACACTGTGTCCATAGCATTATGGAATTTAACAAGTAAACCTAACACATTTCTGGATATACACCCAGAAGAATTAAAGCAGTAAGTCAAAATATTACATGTACACCGGTGTCAAGTTCATAGCAGTGTTATTCACAATAGCCAACAGGTAGACACATCCCAAGGGTCCATCCATGATGATTAGGTAAAGTGTGGTGGGCACATACAATGGGATATTATTCAGGCCTCAAAAAAGAAGGAAATTCTGACCCAGGCTAGCACTGGATGGGCCATGAAAACATTCTGTGAAGTGAAATAAATCAGTCACAACAGAATGAAAACTTCGTGATTCCGCTAAGAGTAGTTGAGTGCATAGCGACTGAAAGGAGAATGAGGCGAGGGAAGGGGAAAATGGGCAGGCGTTAAATGGGCCCAGTCTCAGTTTGGAAGCTGAAGATTTCAGGAAATGACTCCTGGTTATGACTGCACAGAAGTGAGAATGGACACGTGCGCTCAAAATGGTTAAAATGAGGGTTGGTATAATGGCCTAGTGGGTTAAGCTGCCCCCCGCAATGCCAGCATCCTGTAATGGAGCTCAGGTTCCAGTCCTGGCTGCTCCACTTCCGATCCAGCTCCATGTTGATGTGCCTGGGAAAGCAGCAGAGGATGGTCCAAGTCCTTGGGTCCCTGTCATCCATGTGGGAAACCCAGATGGAGTTCTAGGCTCCTGGCTTCTGCCTGGCCCAACTGTAGCCACTTTGGCCATTTGAGGAGTGAACCAGCAGATAGAAGACTCTCTTCCACTCCCTCTCCCTCTCTCTGTTACTCTGCCTTTCAAATACAAATAAATAAATATATTTTTAAATGGTTAAAATGGAAAACTACACCAAATATAGAAGAGAACCATAGAGTAAGAAGTTGGGCATCTTGGAAAGTGCCTTTCTCCGAGGTTTGCCGTGTGCCAGGTTCTTGGCAGAGCCCGGCACAGGATCTCTCTGTGCAGGCCCTGGAGAGGCAGGCACAGTGATGGAGGAGTGTGCTCATTTCAGGCGCTTCCTGGAGGCGATGTGTCTGCAGAAGCCTCCAGTCACAGAAAATAGGAGCTTGCACTGATGCGGGAAGATGCATATTGTTTTTTCTACCCATGTATGTTTTTTTCTTTGCTGGGAAAATCAGTACACATCAGAGACCTAAGGTTTCCACTGGCAGGAGAGCAGAGCATCTTGGCACTGGGAGCCAGGCGGGTGCGATGTTTTGTAGGCATCCTGGAACCGTCAGTCACTGTGGCTCAGCTGCCTCCTGCTTCCGAGGGCACAGAGCTGCAACAGCCCTCCCTGCTCTTCCACTCACCTCGGGGTTGCAGCAGATCTAAGTGTGTTTTTTTTGTTGTTGTTGTTTTTTTTTTTTTTTTTTTTGACAGGCAGAGTGGACAGTGAGAGAGAGAGAGACAGAGAGAAAGGTCTTCCTTTGCTGTTGGTTCACCCTCCAATGGCCACGGCAGCCGGCACGCCACGGCCGGCGCACTGCGCTGATCCGATGGCAGGAGCCAGGAGCCAGGTACTTATCCTGGTCTCCCATGGAGTGCAGGGCCCAAGCACCTGGGCCATCCTCCACTGCACTCCCGGGCCACAGCAGAGAGCTGGCCTGGAAGAGGGGCAACGGGGACAGAATCCGGCGCCCCAACCAGGACTAGAACCTGGTGTGCCGGCGCCAAAAGGTGGAGGATTAGCCTAGTGAGCCACGGCACTGGCCGAGATCTAAGCTTTTCAATCTCCTGTGGCAGCCGTGGTGGATGTGGTCGACACTTACCTGAAATTGCTTTTATTGTTATTGATTTATTTTATTTTTTTGAAAGGCAGAGAGACACAGAGCCAGAGAAAGACAGACAAAGATCTCCCATCCACTGGTTTACTCCCCAAATGCATGTTAGCAGGCAGGACTGGGCCAGGCTGGAGCCAGGAGCCTGAGACTCAGTCCAGGTCTTCTACAGGGGTGACAGGGACCCAGGCTTGGGCCGTAGCCTGCTGCCTCTCAGAAGGCACGTGAGCAGGACGCTGGAAAGGAGCACAGAGCCAGGACACCAACCCAGGCACTCTGCTGTGGGATGTGGGCGTCCCAAGGCGGCCTGACCACTGCCGAACGCCTGCCCCCAAAAGTGATTTAATTCACGTGGGCACAATTTCTTGGCTCCTTGCTAGCCTCGGGGTGAACTTTGATTTTCCGAAGTTTTGTGAACTTGAACAAACCATCGATGCTGTAAAACGCACTAAACACTGGAGTAAGGGAAAGGGTTTAATGGGGGAAACCCGACAGACCGGAGGGAAGGGGCAAAGAAGGAAAAGAGGGAGGAGGAGAGCATAAGAGAGAGCAAGAGAGAGAGAGCGATCGAGAGAGAGGGAGAAAGGAGAGAGAGAGAGAGAGAGAGAGAGAGAGAATCAGGAGACGGAGAGAAAGAGAGCCCTGTATTCAGGAACAGGTCCTCTTAAAACTTTGCCAGGGAGTGGGCGGGGAAGTAGGAGCAGTGCATCCCATTAGGAAGGGGGTGGAGCTGACACGGGTGGTTGGGCCATGTGGTCACTGGGCTTCCAGCAATGGCGGCGGGGGCCAGGGCCCAGGATGGTGTCGGGGTAGAGATTGCTCTATAGATAAGACTGCGCGATTTTACTAACAGATGCAGCTTTCACTTCCCCAGAGGCCTGGCTGTTTTCAGGAGGAGAACCTTGGTCTAGATCAGAAAGAGGCTGGCTGGGCCTGCAGGTAATTCACTCCCCTGTTAGTATCCCAACCCCTGAGTGCCACAAGTTTAGGACCAGACCCTGCAGTCAGAGCTTCTCACGGTGCCCTGGGCATGGTCCAGCTCCAGGTGGGCCGCCTGGGTTGGGCTGATTTACTTAGTTCCTGGACCCTAAAGCATAAAGCATGTCTCCTAAGTATTGGGAATAACCTTTATAAGAGGCATCCAATCTTAATTTACAGGAACGTATTAACTAACCAAGCTATTACCCAGGGTGTGGTCTTGAGCTGTAATCAGTGCAGAAGGAATCCCAAAGACCACGGAGGGCGGGGCCGCAGCCTGGGGCCCAGAAGGCCCTAGGGACCCGTGGATCACCTTTTGGAGTCTGTTAATCCCTGAAATCGGGAGCAGCACTTTATCTTAGTGTGATCCCGACGCAGAGGTTAAGAGCCAATCCTCCGATTTACTGCTGCGTACGCTGTGATCCAGGGGAACCGGCCCAAAGCCCCTTACACCAGGCCAGGGCTCCCAGTCACACGAGGCAGCGCCCTGGCCAATTGCCCTGGGCCCTGGCCATGTGGTGCTGCAGTGGGAGGGTGCACTGTGGAGTCAGGGAGGAGCCGGGCTGGTGCCCCCGGGCAAGGTGGGAGCCTGGATGGAGAGCAGCTCGCAGGGGGCCTCCCTGGGGCTGGGCGCTAACTCCCAGTGTGGGGCTGCCCTGGGGAGCTCTCTTGGGAAGGGTGTTCAGCTTAGTGACCGCCTGCTATTTTACAGGCTCTGCAAGTCTCTCTCAGGAGCACGCGTAAGCTGTGGCTCCCGCTGCAGACGCAGACAGGACACAGGCAGAGGGAAGAGCCTCAGTGCAGCCCTCAAAGACAGCGGAGTGGGAGGCCACCTGGGTTGTGCTCACACCCACCCCTTGCAAAGCAGCCACACCGCCTGCGGCTTGGGTTTGAGAAGTGCGGGCTCCACCTACGAGGCCCTTGCTGTCGGCATGAGTGGGCGATGGCGCTCTTCAACAAGAAGCACTGGAGACAAGTTTCGGTGAACATGTCTGCTTTATTAACGAGCAAGCACACCTTTCAAAGGGCAGGCGGAGGGGGCAAAGGGCAGGCAGAAGGGGCGTGGTGTAGCTAATTCAGGGCAACACCAATTCTATAGGATGGAGCCGATATTGGCGCCACTCTGCTTTTCCAATCAGCTTGAAGGTCACGTAGGCTAGTAGCTTTCCTGGTGGGCCTGGGCCACACCCGGGAGCAGTTTACCTGATTGGCAGAAGGCGGGGGTGGGGGAAATGTTCCTGGGGCTCCCCCGCCGCCCGCCAGCAGTCAGGCTAACTGCATGGGCTAGGCAGGCAGCCTCACAGGATCACCCACAGAGAAGCCCAGGGCCCAGTGTGGGTCTGTAAGCAGCCCTCCAAGGCAGGCACCCGGTACGGACCACTTGCGGGCGAAGTGTTCTGAGGCTGGTGGCTCTCCTTCCTCTAGGGGACCGGTATTCTTCCCTGGGGTCCCAGGACCCCATTTTGGTTCCTCAAGCTTTGGGGGCTTTCCCTGCACTAGGTCGCTCCCTTCAGTGCCCTGCCCCAGGGCAAGTCTTTCCCTCTGTCTCTGCCGCCACTTAGGGTTCCCGGGTGTTTCCCAGCCATGGGGCAGGGGCAGAAAGAAGGGAAGGAGAAGCCTGGAGTTTGGACTGAGGTTGGAGGATTAAGTTCTTCACTCACTAAGGAAGGATTTGGGAACACAAAAGGCAGGGGTGGGTACTGGCTGGGGGGAAGTTGCAGCTCAGTGGTGCTATTGATTTTAATCCCCACATCACAAATCACTTCGGTCTTAAAGAAACCTCACACACACACACACACACACACACACACACACACACACACTGGCCTGCCATCCACTGGTTCATTCCCCAAACGCCCACACCACCACAGTCAGGGCTGCCCAGGCTGAAGCCGGGAGCTAAGAACTCCATTTAGACCTCCCACATGGGAGGGGCCCAGGCACCTGAGCCATCACCTGCTGCCTCTCAGGATGCGTCAGCAGGAAGCTGGATCAGAAGCAGATCAACTTCAGTATGGGGTGTAGGCATCACACGTGGCTGCTTACCCTGCTGCGCCACGGCGCTGGCTGCTGTCACGTGATTTTTCCAAGCAGGAGATTTTGGGAACATGGAAGGACACCAGCAGGTTCATTGGACGTGCCATAGGGCCAGGTTCTGGAAGGAGTGGCTCTGGGGAGGCTGTGGAGCAGCCAAGGACACCTTTAACACTGAGCGGAAGCCTTGCCGTGGGGATGGCGCGCGCGGGGTGCTTCAAGCCTGCCTGAGAAAGGGGATTTGAAAACCACGGGGGCGCCCCCAGAACAGCAAGCTGGGACGAGAGAGAGGGAGGTGACAAGGAAAGGAGAGAGGAGGGACAGAAACGTGCAGCTGTTGAGTGTTGAATGTCAGACACAGCACTGGGGATGAGCCAGTCCTACCACACCCCAGGACAGATGAGTCTGATTTCCCAGAAAAGCATTGGAGACCGGGCTACTCCACTGGCTGCCCAACTGGCAAGAGCTTGCCGTCTGGAGACGTCTGTCAGTGGTCCGAGCTGCCGCAGCACGTGCCTCGGGAGCCGCCTCCCATTACCAGGCTTTGATTCATGAACAAAGCCCTTGGCGGTGAGAAGGAGCTTCCCCTCCACGTGAACCACGATGGAGACGTGGGCCGAGGGGCCGGAGCCGAGGCAGGCCGTGGCTATCCTGGGAGGTGCCGGCAAGGACAGAGCGCCGCCTTCTCCCTCTCTGGCTGCACCTGCAGTAAACAGATCCATTTCATTTCCTCCACAAGGCAACAGTCTGAAGCTCCCGGGTGTGAGGATCTGTTGTGTCTGTTATTTTTTAAATACAGGGATATTTATCAACTCCTGGAAAATGGGTTGCACACAAAAGCCACAGTTCAGGATCTTGGTATGAGATGCTCGTATGATACAGAACTCCACAGAAAAGACCTTTTCTGCATATAGGACCACACCATTTCAGCCAGGGCTGAAGCCTTTCCCTCTGAAACCAGCAACAGTGCTAGTTTTTGTTGTTGTTACTGTTGGTTTGTTTTAAGATTTATTTATTTATTTGGAAGGCAGAGTTACAGAGAAAGAAGAAGAGGCAGAGAGAGAGAGAGAGAGAGAGCGAGGGGCCTTCCATCTGCTGGTTCACTCCCTAAAGGCCACATGGCTGGAGCTGCATCAGTCTGAAGCCAGGAGCCAGGAGCTTCTTCTGGGTCTCCCAGGTGGGTTCAGGGGCCCAAGGACTTGGGCCATCTTCCACTGCCTTTCCAGGCCATAGCAGAGAGCTGGATTGGAAGTGGAGCAGCCAGGACTTGAACAGGTGTACATATGGGATGCTAACACTGAAGGCGGTGGCTTTACCTGCTATGCCACAGCACCCACCCCAACAGCATTAAAGTTGTTGCCTAGTAACATGATGCTACTCCCTACTTTATAGCTCTTCTTTTTCTTCTCTTTTCTTTTATTCTTCTGTTTATAGTATTTAACAGTAGGTTAATGTGCTTACTTAAGTGTAAATCTAAAGTATCATCATGAAACTTTTCCTAAAGACGCCTCATTCCATTCTTCAGAGATGAGCTATATAATTTGTATGACCCTTTGCAGGGATTAAGTAGAAGGGGTATGTGGGCTTCATTCTGATGTTTCTGATAGGTAGGGAGCACATCAATCATGAAACCAGACAGTCTGATTAATGCTTAGTTTCATTTCTTACAGACTAAGCGCTACAGGTCGTAATGGGATGTGACTTTCCACTGTGGCTTCCTCTGACATCCTCAGCCTCCTCCTCATGGGACTCCTTTATCTAGAGCATGCGCCTAACTCCCCCACATGTTGTTGTTGTTGTTGTTAAAGATTTATTTGAAAGGCAGAGTTGCAGAGAGAGAGAGGGAGAGACAGAAATCTTCCATCCACTGGTTCACTCCCCAGACTGCTATAAGGGCTGGTGCTGGGTGAGACCAAAGTCAGGAGCCAGAACTCCAGCCACGTCTCCCACATGGGTGGCAGTCACCTAAGCACTAGAGCCATCTTCTGCTGCTCGCCCAGGCACATCAGCAGGGAGCTGGGTTTGAAGGTCCTCCCTACTCTCTAAGACTTCCCATCGCCCAGGAGTAATGACGAATTTGCAGTGAGTCATACATGGATCTCATGCTTGTACACAATGGCATTCATTTGACAGACTGGGAGCCTAACAGGTGTTTGTTCCCTACACTGAGTACATGTGGTTTGAGTGGCTGAATCCATGGGCTCACTCCCAACACACCCTCCTTTCCAAAGCAGGTGCCACCACGAAGTCTAAAGTTTGGCAGGCTGCGTAATCCACCCCTAGTCACAGAGCTGGCACAGGATGTCTGCTTGCCTCTAAGATGGCCCGGTCAGAATCAGTGCCGGCATGTGGATTTGAACACTTGTGAAGAGAGGCTGTCTTTCCCCAAGGGCACCTGAGAGATGGGAGCATGAACCTGGAATGGCTGGTGGCCATTTTACCTGAGTGGTCATTTTACCTGTTTGAATGAAATCGACACAGAGAAAGCAGAGCCAAGGGACAGAGACGGAGGAAGACCAAGCCTTGATGACGTTTAATTTCATTTCCACAAAGTGTTTGAAATATCCTTGTATTTTCTTGTCTTTTTAATTAAAAAAATATGTATTTAGGGTGGACGTTGTGGCACAGTAGGTTAAACTGCCACTTGGAACGCCCATATTCCACCCATATCGGAGTCCAGGTTCTGAGTCCTGGCCATTTTCCTTCTGATCCAGCCTCACACTACTGTGCCTGGGAAGCAGTGGATGATGGCTCAAGTACATGGGAGACCCAGATGAAGCTGCTGGCTCTGGCCTGGCCCAGCCCTGGCCATTGTGGCCATCTGGGAGGTGAACCTGCAGATGGAAGATCTCTCTCTCTGTAACTCTTCCAAATAAATAAATAAGTCTTTTTTAAAAAGTAGACTCGGAATGTTACGCACATTTGTCTGTATCTTGCTTTTTCTTATGAAAGGAGTTCTCCCCAGTGCACCTGGCATAGGGCTGATCTTTCCTGAATTGCTGCATCACTCTCTACGGTGAGTACATTTCTATTCCTGTTAGGGGCATTTGGGGGCATTTTCTCTTTTTCTTTCCTTTTTTCTTTCTCTTTTTTCTTTTACTGTTATAAGAAACTCTGCAATAAACATCTTTGTACTTACGCCCTGAGGCACTGGTGCTTTTATTGCTACAGAAGGGATGGATTCCCAAGAATGAGATTCCTGGGACATGGAGGCACCTAGACACCATGACGCTAAGTGCAGCAAGCCAATCACTAAGGACCCTACGGGGTCTGATCCCATTTACAGAACAGGGACAGAAAGTGGCTGATGACGGCCTGCGGCTGTGGGGGGAGGGAGCGCAGTTTTAGAGAAAGGTCAAGTGGTTGCTAATGGGTGCAGGGGTTCTTTCTGGAGTGGAGAAAAAGTTCTCAGGTGGTGTGGTGATGGTTGCACAACTCCAACTCCATTAAAACCATTACATGGTGCACCTGAGATGGGTATGTTTTATGGTGTGTGAATTCTATCTCAACGAAGCTCTTGTGAGAATGAGTCAGATGACTGGGTCATTTGTGTTTTATTAGATGCCACCAGACAACATTCCAAAGAGGCCGTGGCTCTTCCCATTTCCACCAGCCCTGAGCGGGAGCACCTTTTCCCCACATCTTCGCAAGCGAAGGGTCTTAATGTTCTTTCCAGTTTTACCGGTCTGCTGCTGGTGAAGTGATGTCTCATTTTTTTTTTTAACAGATTTTTTTATTTGAAAGGTGAATTGACAGAGAGGCAGACACACACACGCAAACACACACACACACACACAGAGGTCTTCCATCCACTGGTTCACTCCCCAAGTGGCTTCAATGGTTGGAGCTGGGCCAATCCGAAGCCAGGAGCCAGGAGCTTCTTCTGGGTCTCCCAGGTGGGTGCTGAGGCCCAAGGACTTGGGCCATCCTCTACTGCTTTCCCAGGCCATAGCAGAGAGCTGGATCGGAAGTGGAGCAGCTGGCTCTTGAACCGGCGCCCATATGGGATGCTGGCACTGCAGATGGTGACTTTACCTGCTATGCCACAGCAGTGGTCCCCTGATGTCTCATTTTTACTTTAATTTGTATTTCCTGGGAAGATTCTCATTATAAAAGTTGAATTCTATTTCAGTGTCTGAGGCAGTGAATATGAGGCTCCTCTGACATCACGTCTCCCCCAAGTAATCACTCTCCAAGTAAGCACTCCTCAAATAGGTGGGTTTCCAGGCCCCTCTCTACACACGTATAAACTAGCAAACATAGCATGCTGTTTTACAGCAAAGAGATCACGCTGGGATGTATTTCAAGGACTTGCTTTGCTCACATGACAGTAGTTCTTGCAGATCTTTCCCAACAAATGTATCTCTACCTCACTCTTCCTGATGGTTAAATATATACCGCAGTGTGGATGGATTCTAGTTTATGTAAACATTGATAGCAATTAGAGTGTATCCAATATTTTGCCATTTCAAATCAGGTCTCAATGAACAACCTTGTTCATACTTAAAAAAAAAAAAAACTGAAATGAGAGTCACATAACGGCCGGCACCGTGGCTCAATAGGCTAATCCTCCACCTTGCGGCGCCGGCACACTGGGTTCTAGTCCTGGTCAGGACACCGGATTCTGTCCCGGTTGCCCCTCTTCCAGGCCAGCTCTCTGCTATGGCCAGGGAGTGCAGTGGAGGATGGCCCAAGTGCTTGGGCCCTGCACCCCATGGGAGACCAGGAGAAGCACCTGGCTCCTGCCATCGGATCAGCGCAGTGCGCCGGCCACAGCGCACTGGCCACGGCGGCCATTAGAGGGTGAACCAATGGCAAAGGAAGACCTTTCTCTCTGTCTCTCTTTCTCACTGTCCACTCTGCCTGTCAAAAAAAAAAAAAAAAAGAGAGAGTCATATAACATAAATGTGGGGAGCAACTCGGACTAGACTAAGTTACTGGAATTAAGACTTATTCTATGCATCTGCTCTCCCACAATATGGCGCTGGGAGAGGAGGAAACAGCTTCTACACAGCTGCCTCCAGTTCAACCAATAAACTGTAGGACCTGCTCCTGATTGGAGGAGAGCAGCGTACTCGGCGTGTGGGTAGCAGAGTTGGGATTGGTGAAGAGGACTATAAAGGAGGAGAGAGACAACATGCACCAGGAACATCTAAGGGGAACACCTGTGCAGCCCCCGAGAGAGCCGGCCGGCAGTGTGCCACTCCCCCGCGGAAGTGGGGAAAGTGGCAGGGGGAACCGCCCTTCCACGGAGGTGGAAGGGACGGTAGCCAACCCGGGAAGAACCAGCAGCAAACCCGGGGAGGGCCGAGCAGACAAAAAGAACAACCCAGGGTCCTGTGTCGTTCCTCCACGAAGAGGGGGAGCGACACATAAAATTAATATTTTAAAATGTATTGTCCAGGGCTGGTGTTGTGAATTTAGCTGCTGGGTGTGACGCCCCATATCTTAGCGCTGGTTTGAGACCTGGCTGCTCCACTTCTGATCTGCTCCCTCCTGGTGCATCTGGAAAGAAAACGCAAGCCTCCTCTACACTGTACCCTTGATGCCCCGTGGCTCTCGGGAGCCTAGAAACTTGAAGACTGGAGGCTTCCTTTTCCACGTGAGCTCAGCAAAGGGTACAAAGCCCCAGAACTTAAAACCAGGCATCTGAGGCTGGCATCGTGGCACAGAGGGTCAGGTCACTGTCTGTGACGCTGGCATCCCATGCAAGTATCAGTTGGGGTTCCAGCTGCTCCACTTCTTCCAAACCAGTTCCTTGCTAACGTGCCTGGGAAAGCACTGAAAGACAGCCCAAGTGCTTGGGCTCCTGCCAACCACGTGGGAGACCTGGATGGAGTTCTAGGTTCCTGGTTTCAAACTGGCCCAGCCCTGACTGTTGCGGCCATTTGGGGAGTGAATCAGCAGAGTCAATCATTACAGACTTGCCTAGCTAAATGAGGACTCAAAATGGGATTTTCGTAGCCTTACATTTTAGAAAAATAAAGTCACATCTCTTGTTCCTCTGGACTTAAGAGGATTTGTTCCCACGACATTTGTGGCAGCAGCACCTGACACCCAATCGCTGCTGAATAATTCTGTGTTGAGTGAGTGGGAGAAGAACTGGTCTTAGGTTCTTTCACTGGATGAGTTCTGACCTCACCCTCATTCTCGCCGTCTTTCTGATTTTTGACGATGGAGTTGAGTGTGTGTGTGTACGTGCATGTAGGGCTGGGTGAGCTGAGTGGGAGGGCGGGACAGTGTTCAAGAAAACAAACAGTTCTCCAGGATTCCCCAGAGGGGCTGCTTCTGGACCCAAGGCATGCAAAGGAGTCCTGCGTTTGCACGCTGGCTCCTGGACAGGCTTCTCCTGTTCCCTTCTGGAGTTCGCCGGCCCTGGCCTGAAGCACTGGGCGCCTCTGACCTGAGTCATTGCTGCCTGCACGCAGGTCCCACACGGCAGAGGGCTGCGCCCGCCTACGTATTTCTCCTTTTCTGAAGATGAGGCTCTGGCCCTGGGCTGGGAAAGGAGGCTGGGGGAGCAGAGACAATGGTGGCAGAAGGGTGTGTGGCTGTCAGCTCTCTCTTTCTGGCTGCTGGCTGAGGGCCCTGGGGCAGGCTGGCTAGGGCTAGGGAGCAGGGCGAGAGGGGTGCTCGGCCATGCGAGCTCACAGGGACTGGCTGTGACCTCAGTTTCCCCCACCACCTGGGAAGCCCCAGGAAGGGTGGGATTCATGGCGCCCATCAGTCCCACAGGGAGGGAGGAAGCCAGAGGCCTCCCTCAAATCTAGGCTCTCTGCTGAGAGAGGAAAAGCCCCAGGCAGCTCAGGTGACAGTGGGGTGGCCTGGGGGTCAGCCTTCCAGGTGGTTTTAAAGAATGCACAGGTGCTGCCAGGAAGAGCTTACCCCACCTGGAAGATCCCAAGGCGGCTCTTTACTGGGTCAGACCTTTGGGTTATTTTTAAACCCTGGATCAAGTTCCAGACAACATTTACCCCGCAGTCTGAACAGCTCCGGAAGGCAGGCGGTGCTGGCAGGGGCTGGCGGGAGGGCGTTTGCAGCAGCTGACTCTCAGGTTATGCTGACCCAGGGAGCACCGCCAAGCGCAGGGGCCCAGCTAAAGAGCAAATATCACAGGGGCCGTGAACTTCAGTAACCGCCTGCACCCAGCCCCCTCCTCGGGTCCCTGCCAGCCCCTCTGGACGTTTTGTGCTTTAATAAGAAAGGCATCGTGGCGCTAGATTTGCTGCAGCATGGAGACAAAGGAACAGGCAGCGCCAGAGCCCAGGGCGTAGAGCGGAGGTGCACCAGGGGACAAGGCTCAGGTGTCTGGGCACATCGAGGCGGACTGGGTCAAGGGCCGCAAGGGCATTGGTAAGCAAAGGGCTAGGGAAGGCAGAGACACGTGGGTGTCAGGGGTGGGTAAGCACGGAGCCATGGGGCATGCCAGGACTTGTGGCTGGCAGTCAGGGAGGAGGGGACATAGAAACTGGACCTGGCCGGGTGCATAGGTCTCACCAGACAGACGGGGAGCAAAGGGGAGGGACAGCAGACCAGCCTGAGCCAGCAATAGGAGAGCTCAGGGCACATGGAGGGTGGTAGTATGAGGAAACCCAGAATTCACGGTGAACGAGCACGGGAGAAAATGCGGGAAGGGTCCATTATAGTTGCCTGTAAGGGTGCTCGGACTTTAAGCCAGAGCAAACCGTGTCAAGGAAGGTTTTTGAAGAGGGAAATAAAGTGATTGGAGTGACAACTTCTAAGTGTTTAGTGGATGGCTGTGCGTAAGAATGTGCTAGAAGCAGGGAGCTGGATGCAAAGAGATCGGGGAAGAGGCTTTTCCAGTGGCTCAAGTGGACAGAAGGACCTTCATTAGATGGTGGGGAACAGGGGCCAGGGCATGTACGTGGAAGCTGAGGCAAAATTCGAGTCTGGATGACTAGGAGCGTGGACAGTCTCCTGCAGAGAACAGAGAAAGCAGAGGGAAGTTGGGAGTTGTGCCTGTTGATTCTGGGGGCAGGAGTCCAGGTGTCGTTAGGCTGGAGACTTGGAATCACTGAGCGCAGGCAGAGCTAACACCAGGAGAGGGGGCCAGGAGGTGGCGGCAGAGGGAAGGCTGGGTAAGGACTTCTCATCACCACGCTCCATTCTCCATCGTCTGTTTAGTAATGGGACTTCCTGGCTTGAAACAGACACATGGACACTGTGTTAGCTTTTCCTTGCCATAGCTAAATACCTGACAAGGACTACTTAAAGGGAAAGTGGTTTATTTTGGCTCACGGTTTTGGAGATTCACAGTCCAAGACAGGGTGGGCCCCAGTGGCTCAGCCATGGGGTGAGGTTAGAGGGCGCGATGGTGGAGGGAGGGCAGGGAAAGGCTTCCTTGTGAGCCAGGAGGCGTACACTCATCATCTGTGTCTGTGTGGGCTCTCTGTATAGAGCCACCATGATTCCTTCTTGGGCTCCACCCTAACAGCTTAATGGAATCTAATCAGGCACCAAAAGTGGATTATGTTTTTTACCCCTTACTCCATTAACCATTAACAGTAATCCATTAATCATTAACGTAAGGTTCTGGAGAACAAGTCTTTACCATGTGGATACCCAAAGTCTTATCCAAACCATAGCAGACACCCAGCTGATAGGATGTTTCCCAGCTTCCGCCGCACCTTGGTGTGGTCAGATGACCAACTTGTGGCCAATGGGATGTGAGCAGAAAGGACGTGTGTGCGTGCAACTTCCAGGTCACGTCCTTCGAAAAGACTGCTGCTTCCTTTCTCGCGACGCTGATGTGCTGGGGAGCCAGCAGGGAGCAGGAATACGAGGCTACCCCCCAGGAACAGGGGGAGAGCAACACAGAAAGAAGCTGGGCTCCTGCGTGAGCCGTGAGCCTGGGTGCCCAGCTCCCCTGACTGCCTGCCTGGCTCCAGACTAGCATGGAGAGGAGAAATGCGCAGCTGTCTCGTTGGAGCCACTGTCGGTTATCTTGGCAAATGCGGGATCATTTTGTGATAGCAGCAGCTAAGCCTGCATCCTCAGTACTATGCATACTAACGCTGATATTTCTATTGAGAATAAAACTGGGGCCAGCACTGTGGCATAACAGGTAAAGCTGTCACCTGCAGTGCCAGCATCCCATATGGGCGCCGGTTCAAGTCCTGGCTGCTCCACTTCCGATCCAGCTCTCTGCTATGGCCTGGGAAAGCAACAGAAAATGGCCCAAGTCCTTGGGCCCCTGCACCCATGTGGGAGACCCAGAAGAAGCTCCTGGCTCCTGGCTTTGGATCAGCGCAGCTCGGGCCATTGTGGCCATTTGGGGAGTGAGCCAGTGGATGGAAGACCTCTCTCTGTCTCTCCCTCTTCTCTGCCTCTGCCTCTTTGTAACTCTGCCTTTCACATAAATAAGTAAGTCTTTAAAAGAGAGAGAGAATAAAACCTTTTGTGGTATGCCAACACTTAGGTGAAACAATTGGGAGAAGATGCAAGGAAAAAGAGGAGAAAAAGCAAAGAAGTGAACCATCACAGCATCCAAAGGAAGAGAGTAAAGCAACAAAAAGACAAACAGGGTTAGGTGCTGCGGCTCACTAGGCTAATCCTCTGCTTTGCGGCGCCGGCACACCAGGTT